TGTTGTAATGCAACATACATTTAGTAAGACTACATATTTATTTTTTATAAGTATAGCTATTTCTTAAATTTCTTGAGTGATGTAGATAAAAACTAGTTTAAAACATAGTCATAATGGATTCACAAATATATTTAACATCGTTCCAACATCCCTGGATTGAAGCACTATGAAAATACCCATATTCTTATTTAAAACAAAGTGATATTCAAGAAAACATCTTATAGAAGATCGGTTTATATTTTTGCCGATCTAAAATAACTTTTCAATTTAAAACAAAAAAGGAATCAACACGCAGGTAGAATAGCCCTCCAGATAAAAATAATGTTTACTTAATTTGATTCCACTTTGAGTAGATAGAGGCAGAGCACTAACCTAAAACTCCTGCTGTTTTTAAAAGGAATGCGACCCTAACCCGAAGAAAACAACCCTGCTAAAAAACACTAACTAGAAAACAACAATTTTCACTACTTAAACTCCGATCTAGACGTTGAAGCATCTTCAAAGCTGAGATTCTTTGGAAATCACGAGGCCGATGCCCCTTCTAACGACCGGAGTAACAATTGATATAGGCACATAAAATTTTCAAACAATGTAGGGGACCAAGAGGACCGATCAAATAGCTGTGGAAATGTGGATACAATTTAGCGGTTTGCGGAATAAGCGAACCACATTAGACCCAAGCTGGACACACAAGATTAGCTTCGAGACAGATGTCATTGTACTCTGGTCATCAAAAAGAAACTGCTTTGCTTGCGTAAGGAATTCCACTAACAACGTCAAAAAAACCACGAAAATCAATTATAGAATGGTAATTTCGTGGATCCATAATTATCAAAGAATTCTTCAAAGCAAAAAAGGATGGGATAAAAATGAATGTCATCCAGTGTTATGTAACCACTAATGATGGCAGTGATGAAAAAAAGCAAGTTTTACGAGAGGCTGCAGTCGATCGTGGGGAAGTGCTCAGGAAGGGACCTGATCATCCTGATAGGAGACCTAAACGTCAAGATCGAAAAAGACAACATCGAGTATGAATATATCATGAGATGATTTGAACTTTGAGAACGGAACGAGAATGGTGACAGATTTACAAATTTATGTGTCCTCGATAGAATAGTTATAGGCGGCATGATATTCACACACAGACACATACATGAAGCTACATGGGTTTCATCGGATCACACCACGGAAATCCAGACAGGTCATATTTGCAGGAGAGGAGCTGAAGTAGATTCAGATTGCCACCTGGTTGTGTTGAAGATGAAATTGGAGCTAAAGGAACGCTGAACAGTTGTGGAGCCAGCAATACAAAGGTTCAATACAGCCTTCTTACGAGACACTGACAAACTCAATGAATTCAAGACAACTCTCAACAACTGTGAAGAAAAACATTAGAACCAACAAGCAGAAATAAAGAGAAGATCTAACAATAATGGCGGAAAAAGCTGCATCCTAAAAAAATATGAGACAACTATGTGACACAACGAAGAAACTAACAAGCAAACATAGTAAACCAGAGAGAACGGTCAAGGACATAGGAGGCGAATCAATCACGAAGATTCAAGAACAGAGGAACAGGAGGGCTAAAACACTTTGAAGAACTCTTGAATAGACCAGTCATAATGAACACATAAGACATCGGAACAATTCACACAGATATTCCTATAGATGTCGCTCCACCAACAACCGAAGGAATCAGCACAGCCTTCGAGCGAATCAAGAGTGAGAAAGCAGAAGGACCTGACAATACACCAGCTGAAGCACTAAAGTATGACATAGAAGCAACTACAAACATGCTCTACGTTCTACGTGCCAAGGAACTGGAAAAACGGAAACTACATCAAGTTGCCAAAAAAGGAGGTCCGTGTAAATGGGAGAAATATAGAGGCGTCTCACTAGTATCGTCATCAGGAAACGTTTCCAACAGTGTCGTTGTACTGGATGAAAGATTTAGTAGATATCAGCAGATCGGATTCCGTTAGGATCGGTCGCGCACAGACCACATCGCAACACAAAGGAACATTACTGATCAATCAATTGAATGGAATTCGTCACTATACATCAACTTCCTTGACTATGAAAAAGCATTTGACAGCGTAGGTGGGAGAATTTCATTGAGCCTCCTTCGACGCTACGGTGTGAGTAGCTGAGATCGTCAACATCATATGAAATTCATTCAACGGGCTACACTGCAAATCCACTCATAAAGGACAGCTGACAAGTGTATTTCATGTGAGGACCGTAGTCGGACACAGTTGCTTTCTTTCGCCTTTTCTCTTTATTCTGGTGGTTGACTGGATTATGACGACATCCACCTATGAGGAGATTAAAGGAATACAATGGACAACTTGCATGTAGTTGAAAGTTTCGGACACTGCAAATGACCTAGCCTTTCTACTCCATACACGTCAACAAATGCAGGTCAAGACAACCAGTGTAACAGCAGCCTCTGCATCAGTAGGCCTCAAAATTCACAAGAAAAAGCAAGGTCCTGAAATAAAACACAGACAGCACCATTCCAAGCACACTTGATGTGAAAACTCTGGAAGAGTTGGAAAGTTCCATGCACCTGGACAGCATAGTCGACGAACAAGGAGGATCTAATGCAGACGTAAAGGCAAGGATTGGCAAAAGGGAAGCATTCCTACAGTTGAAGAACAAATGGAACTCAAAACAACTGTCAACCAACATCAAAATCAGAATCTTCAATACAAACTTCGAGGCAAGCCTGCTATACGAATCTGAAACTTGTAGAACTACTAAAACCATCATCAAAAAGGTGAAGGTGTTTATAAACAATTGTCTGCTCAAAATACTCAATGTTCGTTGTCGACCGAATACCATTAGCAACAGCCAACTGTGGGAGAGAGCAAATTGGATTCCTTCTGAAGGGGAAAATAAGGGGGCGCTGGAATTCGATAGGAAGAATTGTGAAAATCACCAAACTGCATCTCAAGGCAAGCGCTTACTTTAAATCCTGAAGAAAATGGAAAAGAGAATGGCCAGAGAACACTGCATCAAGAATTGAAAGCAGATATCTAAAGGATAAATAGCAACCGGAAACAGGTAGTAGAGTTCGATAGGGAATGCTTGTGCGCACCCTATGCTACTTCACGAGGAGTAAAAAGCGTTGCTGTGTAAGTTGGTAATTAAGTAAGAAAATTACTACCATTATGACCAAGTGGTCATGTTATTTCGGAAAATGATACGCCAGAATCTTAGATGATACTACTAGTAACCGTTCAAAATCATATAGTTTTGTTTAATATCAGGCGTTTTATTATCTTGAAATCATTTCCTTACTTACTTTCTCCCCGATGGCTATCTTGGTATTCTTCCTTTATTTCTTTGCTTCACAATATATGCTTCGCCAGGTGTATAAAATGACATTGTTACAGATCGACGAAAATTCATTAAATTACGATAAATCAGCTCAGGCATCCACAGCAAAATGACTTGTGTAAGATGTGCCACGAAGATTCGTGGAATCAACTTAGAGACACGTCTATGCTTTGCTAAGGTGTATGACTGATAGATAGGTAGTTGAGGGATTTTTAATGTTAGTCACACGCACCATACTCATTCTTTATTTGTTTAAATAGCAAAGTACGAGTACTGATTTTTTTCATAATGAAGGTATAATTCATAGTCGGATGCATGAGTATGTGATAGGTATACAAATTAGAATAACACCAACTCACTGCATATACAACTAATAAATGGTTTTAAGCAGTTAAAGTATTGTCCAGAAGTGTTCACTGGGAAAAAGTAATGAATAAAAACGTTCAGTAGTACTAAATACATATGTTGTCTGAGAAGTGTGCAACAGTAGCGCCACCCTTAAGTTGACTGACTGCTAATATTTAAAGCGAATTCGTCTTAACGGTTTTAATGAAGATTTTTTTATAATTTAAAGCAAAGCATTGTAGATATGTAAATATCCTCTGTTATACACATAAACAGAAATACGTTCGCTAAACTAGTAATAACTGCATATTTGAAACTAAAATATTGTTCAGGTGTATCAATCTCAGCTATTTGCACTTGTAAAACATCTGCGTACGTTTGTTTGTCGTTTCTCAATTACTAAAATATTATTAACATCTTACTGTTAATCAAAACGTTTGTATAATTAGCAGCTTCTTGATAGCTGTGTAATTCTTTCTAACGTAAAAGAAATAGACTCCCAGTTAAACAGGCTCCATTGAAGCCATATGCAGCTTGGGTAAAAAACTTGTGCAAAAGATGAAAAACAAAATGTATCAAAAAACCAACAAATTATTGTGCATAGCATTTCGCATGTTACAGTTATGTTCTATACAGAATTTAGTAGCTTGTTACTAATTAGATCGTTTGTTCTTTCTAAGTAGACCCAAGACATATATAGCGATTTGAAGAGAAAAACGTCTTCAACGATTATCAGTGCATGATCAGAAACTAAAAACAAGCAATACAAATCAGCGTGCTATCACTTACAGCTAAAAAGAGCATTAAACTTGTTGTTTTCATTTGCGCAAAAAGGGATAAACAACAATTAAAAATTAAGTCTCAGACTTATTTCTGCTATTTAAGCAACCTTTGTACATTCAAATATTACTATATATTGTCTTAAAAAGACACAACGCAAGAATTATTGGATTTGTTTCTGGGAAGACTGAATAAACAATATAAAGAAAAAATTTAATCGTGTGTGACAATATATCAAAGGTAGAATACAGCTTGCATCGTGAACCGAGTCAAGTTGAACCTTCTCTGTTATTATTCGCATTCGAGTTACAATAGCTATTATATAAACAACATCTGATGGTGAAAAAATAGGACTCTGAACCTTATTCAGCACATCAACAACTGCCGAACAACACATTACTAATACCAAACGTATGGTGCTTTTGACAAAACGTACTAACAATTTAGTGTTTTATCAGTAAACTTTTGACATTATTGGAAAACATTTCGAGGTAGAAAAAACGAAGATTAAAAAAAGAAATACAAGAACTCACAATCAAATCGTGAATGGACTATATGCTTTGAAAAAGAAACAGTTCAACATATTATGAAAGTTCTATAGTCACATGTGACAGGAAAGACATACGAAAGCGTCACTTTTGAAAATATCACCCAAAAACTAATAACTTTTCTAGTGATTCAAACAAATATACAAAAATATCGCGAATACGAGTCGTATATATTTTTTGAACTCTAAAATTTCGTAGATATTTTTTAAAATCATAAAAATGTCACTTAAATATGGTTCAAAAAGACGATATGTGTTAAATTTTCCTAGGATAACTCGTGTAAAACCACCATTTAATATCAAACATGCAATGGTTTGAGTGTTGATTAGTTAGTTTCAGCTGTTTGGTAGGAAGTAAATGGATAATTTAGCGGTGATTAACCATTTTTGGTCGAGTCAGTTAATCCGTCGAACTTGTGAAATATAATCGTATATTAAGTGATTGACAAGCTGCTAAATAAATTTATCCGTAGTTATCTATTGTCCAGATATTCAAACTTATGTGGATTTTTATTGCCACTGTGGACTTACATTAGCTTGTGGTTGCAGACTAACTAATCCCTGCTTTATTTATTGCGTAGCCATATATTCAGTCTCTCACTTGTAATGTACGGTCATCAAAGGAGCTGTGCAAACTGGATACGACGTAAGGTACTAACCGTGGGTTGTGCCTTGTATGCAATTAATGTTTGGTAATCGCACTGTTGAAAATCAATTTCCTCTCATTCTAAGGCTATCTGGAACATGTTCAAGAAACCAAGATATACCCTTTTTCTGTTCTACAAATGTAGGTGTAAGATCCGTTTTGAGTGTTTTTTTTGTGAACATTCCTCCATGTATAAACTTGAAGTTTGTTCCTATTGGTTCCTTTAGTTGTACATTTTGTTAGTTCTTGATTCCATTTGGGTTGTTAATATTTGTTATTTATTATAGTTTATACTTTTTTTACACCTTCACTAAGTTTCCGTGTTTCTTCCTGAACTGCATTTATGTTGTTTTACTTGATACTTAGTCTTGGTGGTACCCATATTGTTTTGTTCCTCTTTTCGATTGTGTTACTTTTACTCACTGGTACTGTGCATTTTTGATTGTGAATTGAGGCACTCTTCCAGAATTGAAAACACTCTGTGTTATAAAGCAACCAAATATTATCTTTTGAACGAATATGTGCTTGGTCTATCCAAACAGGATAGAACAGCATTTGATTGTTGTCGTTGGTAATTTTCTCGCATCCTTAATTAACTTCGTCATTTATTGTAATTTACATATGATTAGTTGAACAGTTATTGGTTGGATAGCTTGATGGTCACATTTGTTTAGGTAACAATGTACATTTAAGGTAATGATGAATTTAAGAACCGTCATTTTGCTTTGTTTTGGATTCAGCCTGACAAGGGCACGTATCTAAACGACTTAGACTGCTAGTCTTCAGTCCAAACGTTAGTTTGGATATTACAGTAGATAGACGTGAATGTACAAGAAAAGTTGTGTTTACACTGGAAGTGGTGTTTGTCGATTTATTATTGGGTTATTGAACGCGTTGTCCTACACAGAATAAATATTCTGGCTTATGCAGTGTCAAGGCTTTTGGAGGTCGCGTTTGTGACGGTACCACCTTTCAGGTTGAAAATTATGAAACTTGCCTTTTTTCATCGCAATAACTTCCGTTTTTTTTTCATCGGACTTCTCATAATTGGCAATAAATTTCTGTAGGTAACAGTTGTCTCCTTGGCATTTATCTTTTTGAAATATCCACCTGATACACCCTACACGACGGCGTCCATCCGTAGAATCTCAAATACTGTTTCTGAAATTTCGTGTTACCTACTTGTTCTTAATTAATCCTGGGAACGTTATTTCTACTTGTTCTAAGTTAAATTGGAATTTGAAGGTGACGTATAATATGTACGTGCATTGCCATACAAAACGTATCCACAAAAAGCTGAAGATATACCCAAATTTTATTTTTATTTGTCAGTCACACGATAACAACTTTGAAGACACCGTATATACAATATTTCCCAACTTTTAAGTACTTTGTATTTTTTAATTGCGATCGCGGAGTTCATACCTGATGGCTTTGTCACCGATATTGGTATTGTTAACGGATAATGTGATCACTTCGAGATACCTTTCTACACAAATGACCAGTTCAGACGTTTTATTTATATCTGCAGTTTCCACTCAAATTGATGCAGGCATAGTTTAACGCTTCAGTAAGTGCGCAGGTCCAAAAATCGAATTACGAAGAGCTTATCTACAAAATCCACAAATCGTACATACGCTGCTGATATACTTCAATAACCGAAACAATCCAGTGAAATGCCTATGTTGGCAATGAAAAAATGATAATCAGATCACTCTTCACGAACATTTAGCAGAAGAGGGACTAGGAACACTACAGAAATAGCAGATTCAATTTTTTTTTCAATGGTATTGTTGTTAGCAAGAAAATCAAGCGCAACCAAGTGATGGGTTACACAATTTACACTTCTGAATCAATAAATCAAGTCATTTACAGAGAAACAAATTGAAGTATGATGAATCGGTGGTTACAAATCAGATCTAGTAGTGGCACTAGGATTGTTACCATTCAAGAAGCTACAGATTAAAAGCAGTGCAGTATGAAGCGAAGTGAAATCGTTCTGAACTAATAGAAGGAATGCTGATGTATAAGGCGAAGTTAATGTTTAATAATTTTGAATGATTATCAATGAAACATCAAGTATTTAGTCACACAAGTAACTACATTTTATTTTGTTTATTGTTCTACTTTTGTGGGGTGCATGCTGTTTAGTCTTGGAGTAAGGGTCCGAACATGAATATACAACGCTAGTCAGGTTGTTAGTTGTTTGCCGAAGCCTTTTCATAATGTCGATATATTACAGATCAAACACGTATTTACTTCCTTGTTTTGCTAAGGGATTATATTTTCAATATTCTTTGTTAAACTTCGAAAATTTTGTGTGCACTAAAGAATAAACTCACCCTCCGACTGTCTGAATAAAGAACTATTGAAACCACTATTCTGACTACTTTTGAATACAAAACGAGTTTTATTAAGTACGTTTTATGGTGACAGTGATTATCTCCCTTATTTCTGAATGTCAAAAACTTTGTGGTGGTGGTTTCATTATAGTTGGTATACTCGGTTTAAATTGATAAACATTACTTCTGCAAGTATCGGGTTTTGAACACATGGGGCAGCTTAAACTTATGGATCGTGGTTAGTCATCATTATTTTATTACACATAAAAATGGGATATATCAACATTTTTTAGACAAAATTAAAGTTTGAAACCTTGGTCAGTCGGGTTGTGTACAAAAGAAATACTCTGATGGAAACGGGTGTCCAACAAAAGCCAAGGATGACTGTATCAAAGTGTGAATCTGTAATAACGACAACAAAATCATTCATTCTACTCTTTGCACAAAACATCAAGTTTTGGAGACCTATACACTATTTATAAAATACATTGAACATACGGACCGAACAAAGTTCTCTGGTTCAATAAATGTACAGATGGCCTATTGAAGTTAATTCTGGTGATAGTATAACCGTGAAAATAAGTAAAAGCGACGATTCATAACACCATCGTTAAGTGGTTGTGTTACAGTGGACTATGAAGAACTGTGAGTCATAATAAGCAACTTCCTAAGAGCTACGTGTAACTACAAGGCTGCTGCTCTCAAAAAGTTTCAGTATCTTACGTTTTATTTGTAAGTCACTGCATTGCCTGTTCAAAGAAATTTCGAGAGAATTGTACTAGACTTTTGCGAGACGATGTTTGGGATAAAGGATTCAAGCAGTCAGGCCTTTTTCAATTGTGTGGCAGATAAGCCTAAACGAGCTCAACGGCGATGAACCAACACAATAAAACACTCTCTGGTCTATCATATGAATACAAATTGAGGTACATAAACGTATTTCCGTTATTTTACACAGGGTACGAAGATATTTAAAACTGGCTTACCGTTGAGTGTTCCATAGTCCCGCATTAATATATCTTATCTTTCGCATTCGTTTGGGACTGATTATCTAAAAAGAATTTCAAAAATTGTTCAGAAACCGAGATAACAGAATACGTAAACTCAGCACGTTTTGTTGATTTAAACAAAGCATGGTCCGATCTTCACATTACCACAAATTGCAGACACTCTACTCTTTCTACTGAAAACTGAGCCATCGTATGGCGAATGACATTAGATTACTTCAATTAAATGCCATTATTTACAAACTTATAAGTTAAGACATTTTAGAGGTGCAAATTAAAGCTGATTCGGATAAAACAAAGCCTTTTTGTACATCCTGATGGTCAGTCATAGGAAGTATTTTAGTCGTTAGTAAATACTCGAGATGTTTGAATCATTCAAAATCTAGTTTGTTGTAGACACAGTTTCAGTGTTTTGAGAAATGGCGGCAGTTCAAGAAGGGGAAGATGCTGTTTTAACTCCTTCAAAAAAATCGACCGAGGCATGCCGAAAAGACTTGGAATCTATAAATAATCAGGTTTGTTTTGTTTCAAAGTAAGATGTAGGTGTAGTTGGAAGCTTCTATTCGGGATATTGAGAGGTCCCTGGTATCAATGGAGGAAAGATTTTCATCCAGTAATATCCTTTTTAAAAGCTTTCGTTTCATTTTTCAGCTTATTGACATCGGTTAGAGACAGTCAGGTTAATTGATTTCATGAGGTTGGAATTTCTATCATACACTTGAAAGTTATGAAAATACGAGATGCAATTAGTTAATAGCTAAAACATTTTAATACAATTTCATACGCAAGTATAATTAAGATCTATGAAATTTTTTCTTCCGTATTCAGGTTCCATTTACCTACTTCGAGCTCATTGCTCAGTGTTTTTAAATTTCAGTAAGCTTTTCTTATATTTAGATCAGGCTGTTCATCTATATTAAGCACAAGTAACAATACGATTTGTACTTGGAGATGTACGTCAAACACGGCTTATAACAATGGTCGTTTTTTAATTAGTTTTCCGTAATATATTCCAACTAAGCTGATATTAGAGAATTAATGGGAGCACTTCAATAAACAGCTTTCAGAACAGGCAAGCACGCCAAAATGTCTTTTGTTTACGTGTTAACGTTGCCAGTTATATCAGGCAAGTACAAAGTTAGTTAGGGAAACTCTCAAATTTGAGTATTCTCTGAAACTCATCTGTACAGCTGTAGGATCTATAAAATTTGATTAGAATATAATTTACTGATTGGTATCTGTTTTTACACACATTTTTCTGTAACTCCTGTGACTATTTTTCTTAGATGATATTTACTTGCTGAGATGGATAGTGATCTAGAAAAACTTGAAGCTGAAATTTCGAAGTTAATTAAATCTTCTGACGTTCAGGCAGTTGATTGACACTATTGCTGTGTACTGTGCAAATATGATAGTTGAATAAATATAAATACTCCAAGTTTTTTTCACAAAATGTATTTTGAGAAGCCTTATTTCGAAGGTTTTTGAGAAAGTAGCATGCTAAAATCTAAATAAAAATGTCCAGTATTGAATGAAGACAAAAGTACTATGAAAAACGTTTACCAGGGACATAGGGAAAGTATATAGTGGAAATACTTAATTATGTTCGCCACTGCTTTTTGGCCAGAAGGATGATTATATTAGCCGTTTAAGGTTATGTCCTACATGAAGTTTTAAGTTGGAGCTGATCATGTGTTAGATAATCGTTTTTTCTACTACTGTAATCGACCATTGTTTGCGTCATGATTGTTTTTGAGACAACAACATAAGTAAACCTAGTTTACTGGTCAACTAACAATCAAAGATCGTAGCAACTTCTGAAATGTTTGATATCCTTATCAAAAATATATGTTAAGATTTCTCTCCGGTTGATTACTAAGCTGACGTAAGGTCCATAAGCGTGACCTGGGCCGCTAAAATCCTTAAGATACGATAGAAAGGAAGAGTAGTGCATTCGCGTGCCTAACAAATGGAACAACGAATCGTTATATTCAAATCTTGTTTGCATATAGTAATTTAGTATGCAAGAAACGGAATGCATATTTTCTGTGAATCTTGTGAAAATAAATACTTTAATATGGTAGTTTCTATCGATAAAGTTATGTCCTTTTTAATACCATAAATATGTGTTTTTCCAGTGTGTTCCAACAAAACGGAAGACGATGAAGGCTTAGAGTGTCGAGAGGTAGCATCAATCAACGTCTCATAAAATTGTCAGGATCATCATGTAGCTGGCAGAAGTCGTTACTATGGATGTGCTCCGTAGTTCATTGGGTTTGATGGTCTCCACGCCTGCTATTTTTGCAGTTTTAATCGTTTCATCGAGTCCAACTGAATTCATTGCTTATTCGCTCAAGCAATGTGGGTTTGTTCGAGCATGTGATTTTGAGACCTAATGATGACTGAGCCTACCAATATTTAGTTGATATATTGAGGTTAATTTGCGGCAATTCAGTGAAGACCTAACGAGAGTAATATTCATATATTTATCGTCCATTTTCTTCACACTTAAAATCAAGGAATCAAGTGTATGGTCTAACAAAAAGTTCATCTTGTATGCCTCATATTTCGGAGATTGGAGTACGATTTTGGGACAGTTGTCTTTAAATCTTGCCTAATAAATACTGTATTCTTGTAGAATCAGATCGGTTTTCAACGCCATTTTGATATTTATGCTTTAAAATCTCGCAAAAACTAATATCAAAAGCCTCAGTATGACTAGCGTTTATCAGCTTGGCTGTTTTGGAATCCGTGTGACTTCACTGTTATCGGATTATGATCGGTTTAAGTATGTTGGCTGAACAAATTCTGACATGTTGAAGTGGCGTTAAATACATATAGTATTTCCTGGTTTTTCTTATTTCTATCTGAAAAATCTACTTCGTATTCATAGAATATGATCATAGTAACTAAAAACCTTTACATTTACTGCTACTGGGAATTGCCAATCTAAGTCTCACGTTCTTAGCTATTACAAAAGTAATATTTTCTTCATATTTAATTTTATTAAACTTGTGACTTTTGAAATCTACCAATGATAAGATTTTTTGTCATGAGCATTAAATTTTACAAAAAAAAATTATAAAGATACACAGTAAGTTTAAAAAGTTCAGTCCAATATATTGTTATAAATCACCAATCAGTTCATCGATCTCATCCCAATCAATAAAGCTGGTGCTTGGAACGCCACCTATTTCAGTAAGGAGATCAGTTTCTGGCATGGAATGTGGACTTTGTGAAATCTGTGACTCCTAATAAAATAGTAAAATCAAATTACGGGATTTATCTTTGATTGTAGTAATATAGTTTCAGTTTGCTAATAGTTTGAGAGCGGATTCCTCTATCTGTTTGTGAAATTATAGACAAGTACAGTGTGTAAGTGATTTCCACGCTAGAGCTTTATTATGGAAATAAACGTGCGCCTTGTTTTGTCATTTCTATGTAAAACAAGAGTGCTACATGAAGTGAATTGCGCAGCTCGATAACAAAGGTCACATTAAACTGTGAATATTTTTATTTGTTGTAAGAATAAGACTTTCCAGTCGTATAAGAAATAATACTACCGGTCATATTGCAGGATACAAAACTATCACTCATATTTAAATCAATACTTTATATTTTCTTAAATGTAAACAATTGTATCGTATCATTTAGATATTCATATATGCTTTCCCTTCTGACCTCGTCATTTACCCCTATTAACCAGTCATTTGAGAAGTTTTATTCAACTGAAATACCAAGGTCATCGATAGACCGGTAAGTCAAAGGGTTTTACTTACTTACTTACGCCTGTTACTCCCAATGGAGCATAGGCCGCCAACCAGCATTCTCTAACCCACTCTGTCCTGGGCCACCTTTTCTAATTCCATCCAATTCTTGTTCATCTTTTTCATGTCTCTTTCCATTTATCGGCGTAATGTGTTCTTTGGTCTTCCTTTTTTCCTTTGGCCTTGAGGATTCCATGTGAGGGCTTGTCTTGTGACGCAGTTGGGTGCTTTCCTCAATGTGTGTCCTATCCACTTCCAGCGCTTCTTTCTGGTTTCTTCCTCCGCTGGAATCTGGTTTGTTCTCTCCCACAGTACGTTGTTGCTAATAGTGTCCGCCCAACGGATCTGAAGTATTTTGCGTAGACAACTGTTAATAAACACCTGTATCTTCTGGATGATGGCTTTCGTAGTTCTCCAGGTTTCCGCCCCATACAGTAGAACTGTCTTGACATTTGTACTGAAAATCCTGACCTTGGTGTTGGTTGACAGTTGCTTTGAGTTCCAGATGTTCCTCAGTTGTAAATATGCTGCTCTTGCTTTGCCGATCCGCGCCTTCACATCTGCATCAGACCCACCATGTTCATCAATGATGCTGCTCAAATATGTAAAGGTTTTTACATCTTCCAAATCTTCTCCGTCAATTGTGATTGGATCGGTGCATGCTGTGTTGTATCGGAGAACCTTGCTCTTCCCTTTGTGTATATTGAGACCTACTGCTGCTGAGGCTGCTGCTACACTGCTCGTCTTCTGCATTTGTTGTTGCGTTTGGGATAGAAGGGCCAGATCATCTGCGAAGTCCAGATCGTCCAACTGCATCCTAGATGTCCATTGTATCCCGTGCTTCCCTTCAGATGTTGACGTCTTCATGATCCAGTCGATCACCAGGAGAAAGAGAAAGCGTGAGAGTAAGCAACCTTGCCTAACACCGGTCTTCACTTCGAACGATTTTGTCAACTGTCCTCCACGCACGATTTTGCAGTGTAATCCATCATATGAACTCTGTATGATATTGACTATCTTTTGAGGCACGCCGTAGTGTCGAAGAAGCTTCCATAGTGTTGTCCTGTCCACGCTATCAAATGCCTTTTCGTAGTCAATGAAGTTGATGTAGAGTGATGAATTCCATTCAATTGATTGTTCCACAATGATCCGTAGAGTTGCGATTTGGTCTGTACACGATCTATCCTTACGGAATCCTGCCTGTTGATCACGAAGTTGGGCGTCTACGCAGTCCTTCATCCTGTTTAACAGTACTCTGTTGAAGACTTTTCCCGGTATTGAGAGAAGAGTGATGCCCCTGTAGTTATCACACTTGCTGAGATCGCCTTTCTTCGGTATTTTGATCAGGAGTCCTTCTTTCCAGTCTTTTGGTACTTGTTCCTCATCCCAAATCTTATTGAAGAGAATGTGGAGTATCCTTGAAGTTGCCGCTACGTCTGCGTTTAGTGCCTCTGCTGGAATGTTGTCTGGTCCTGCTGCTTTGCCACTCTTGATTTGTCTGATGGCCATGCTGATTTCTTCAATTGTTGGTGGGCCAACGTTGATTGGGAGGTCCGCGGGTGCTGCTTCGATGTTGGGTGGGTTCAGTGGAGCTGGTCGATTCAAGAGTTCTTTGAAGTGTTCTACCCACCTGTTTTGTTGCTCTTCAATGTTGGTGATTACCTCGCCTTCCTTGCTTTTCACTGGTCATTCTGATTTGCGACGATTTCCAGAGAGTTTCTTTGTTATGTCATACAGTTGTCTCATGTTCCCTTCTCTTGCAGCCTTTTCCGCCGTTGTTGCTAAATATTCCACATATTTACGTTTGTCGATTCTGATACTCCTCTTCACTTGTTTGTTTACTTCCGTGTATTCAGCTTGTGCTTTGGCTTTTTCTGCTTTTGTTCGACTGGTATTGATTGCTGCCTTCTTGTTCCTTCTTTCTTGAATCTTATCCAGTGTATCAACAGTGATCCATTCCTTGTGATGGTGCTTCTTGTGACCCAGGACCTCATGACATATTGAAGTGATTACCTCTTTGATCCCCTTCCAGTTGCACTCCACAGTAGTTCCTTCTTCATTTAGTAGATCATGAAAGGCCTGGAACTTGTTGCTGAGGACTATCTTGAATTTGTTGAGTTTGTTGGTATCCTGAAGAAAGGCCGTGTTGAACTTTTGTGATATTGTCCGCCCCATTGTCCAGTGCTTCTTGAATTTCAATTTCATCTTGGCGACCAGCAAGTGATGATCTGATGCTATATCAGCTCCTCTCTTGGTTCTCACGTCCTCTATGGTCCTCCTGAACGTTTTGTTGACGCAAATATGATCGATTTGGTTTTGCGTGGTGTGATCCGGTGAAGTCCATGTGGTTTTGTGAATGCGTTTATGTGGGAATATGGTGCCACCTATGACCAGTTTATTGAAGGCACATAGGTTTGCAAATCTCTCACCATTTTCGTTTCTTTCTCCCAGTCCATGTCGTCCCATGATGTCTTCATATCCAGTGTTGTCCGTTCCAACCTTGGCGTTGAAATCTCCCATCAGAATGGTCAGGTCCTTTGTTTGGCACTTCTCGACGATTGACTGCAGCCTATTGTAGAATTTATCTTGAGCGTCTTCATTGTAATCGTTGGTAGGCGCATAGCATTGGATAATATTCATTGTAATGCCCTCCTTTTTTGTTTTGAACGAGGCTTTGATGATCCTTGATCCATGAGATTCCCATCCTATAAGCGCATTTTGCGCTTGTTTGGACAGCATCAATGCAACTCCTTGTGTATGTGGGGCATTTTCTTCTTCATGGCCGGAGTATAACAGAAGCTCTCCTGAAGTTAGTCGTTGTTGTCCAACTTGCGTCCAATGTGTTTCACTGATCCCAAGTACCTCTAGGTTGTATCTTCTCATTTCTGCGGCAATTTGGAAGGCTCTCCCGGTGTCCCACATTGTACGAACATTCCATGTACCTAAATAAATGGTTGCTCTGGTTGTCAGAAGGGGCATCGGCCTCGTAACTTGCGAAGGAATTCGGCTTTCATCATGAGGCGTCATAGTTCTTCTAAATGAAGACCTTTCGACTCCCAGGGCAGAGGTTAAAAGGTTTGAATAATTTTTCCTGGTTAGCGTTTTTTTAGCGAGTTAGTTTTCTATGGGATGGGGACGCTAACCCTATGCCCAACTCTCCTCCTTTATCCGAGCTTGGGACCGGCAGTAGCCCCCGGAGGGACTCCAGGCGGAGTTTCAAAGGGTTTTAATGCACGCAAATCCTTTTCGGTACTTACGAAGAGCATCCTAGCAACAGTTACATTATTTAGTTAAAAAGTCTGAAAGTAACTCCAAAAATGTGTTTTCGAGTTTGTTCAGACGTTCATCAGAAAACTTGGCTTCACATGTAATAATACTCTAACTTAATCCATTGGTATTGCTACTTTATTGCAAAAAGCTAGCTAATAGGACGTTATTACGAGCCTATTATGTCAGAACTTTACTTCTCACGTTCCACGGTGATAATTATTACAACACTTCTAATATCACCACATTTATTACCGTTCCAATGATAATGTAACAGTATTGTGCTCGATTTGCACGTATGTGTGATCTACTTTCATCCTTAAAAGTAGCTTCATACCTGTACCAATGTACTATACTATCTGCTTTAGCTTACATATTCCAACTAAAAACCTAGTTAGTATTCTGCGAAATAGAAACTGAAAATTTAATTGACCGTAACGATATGCTTTATAGTTTATTTAAACTAACCTGATCAAAATTAGAAATTCCACTAGCACTTTGTGGCCTAGATGAACTGCAAAATCTGTCTTTTTCATCTCCATAGAGTATTCTTTTCACATTACTTTCTAGGGACCAGTCGCTTAAAATTGTTGTCTGTAAGTCATCTTCATAAGTTAGGTGTTTTGGTGTATCAGGATGTGGATGATTTAATACAGATGACTTTTGTACAACTGCAATTAAAAGGAGAAAGAAAGATAAAGCAGTACAAACAATATAATTCCATATTGTGGCTATCTAATGGGGAAAGTTCGTTCTTGATTTCTGTTATAAGCGATTAAATACTAGTAAGCAGATGATAATCAATATATTACTCATTGATTGGAGTGCTGACATCGGATAAACCACAGAAAGATTTTAGCTTACTAAAATCCATTAATTAGACCATAATGAGAGTACTACAATCTTAGAAAAAGTAGACAGAAATCAAGAATAAAGGGGTTGGACAGTAAGTCAATGCATTTGAATTACAAATAGTTGTTTTGCGCAGTAAATTATATTAACTAAATTCTTAAACATACAACACTGTAGAAATAGTGTTCTGTGTCTAAAGACATAACAATGACATTACTATTTGACTCCATTGACGTTTAAATTAGCTTATCAAAATAGGCAGTTCGACATTTTTGTTTAATCCAGGGTTGTAACCACCTTTTCATCTGTTTATGGTTATTGATAAGCATTCAGAGGTTAACAATGACATTTTTATACTTCCAAACAGTACTCTATTCTATTTGTTTGTGTCTAATACAATTTAGGATAGCGGTGGGAAAACACTTTTTTACTAAAGAAAAAAATAAACTCAGAATCTAGTAGTCAATGAAACTCGCTATTTATTAGTGAAATCAATAATTAGTAGTGAGTGTTTACAATATGTTTTTATCCATCAAACCGGATTTCGATCTACTTGTTGGGGTATGAGTTTGGACTTATTGAATTGTATATATTATTAGGTGTGGTAAATTATGCTTGATACTTGTAGCGTTTATTCAGGCTGGAGGAAACCTGCAGATTTTTTTACCCGATCTGTATATAATGGCTCGTTTGATTAATAGTAGGACAAAGTAGATCAGTCAGCAACTTACATGAACCAAAACTCTTAAATCCCAGGAACCTTGTGAGAACTCACATTTGAGTATTGAGACCTGTTAGTTTGTTATAGTCAACGTCAGCTTACTTCCACAAACATCAAATTAATTCGTCGGTGACCTTGTTTACGATTGCCTGTCTTTGTAAGCTTTGTTGTCTCTATTCATCTCTGTACTCAAGTTTACTGTCTTGTTCTGCTGAAATCTGGCCATGTAGTCGATTAAGCCTTTTCGTATGGGTTAAGAGATCGGCTTGAGTTAATGCAAGAGGCGTCTACTCTGTCAACTGTTGATTTTCGCAGTTGATGTAATTTAATTTGCAGACGACGTATTCGCTTCTGTCGTTGTATTTTATGGTTTACAAAATGGAATGAAACAATTGCGACACCCTATGAAAGACATTTTTTACAAATTCTTGTAGTGATTTCTAAGATGTTCCTCACATTTGTGAAGATTGGATTTATTTAGCGCTTGTGGAATGGCTGAGAAGCTCACTTTCACATACAGTAAGTGCTTATGTTGTTCAAAATTGAGTGAATGGTCTGCAATTGATCGTCTTACTCAAAGGATTCAGTTATATAACGGAGGGTGACTTTTGACGATAATTGTGCAATAAATATTAATGTGTGATGTAAACTGTCCTTACAATTACAGTAGATTGTCTCCCCTAATCAGTTGTAGTAATCAAATATTCATATATTCGTTGTTTATTCTTATTCCTATGAGTAGTGCTTTATAACTGGCAAAATAATAAGGAAAAGTATGTACAATAGAGGTAATAACCAAACTTTAGTGAATACTACTTAAAATGTAATCTCAGCAGTGTACCGATGTGCTTATAATTTGTAACCATGATGAATAATTTTAAATAGTGAATATAATCAGTGGATTTACTTTTTGTTTGTTGTCTTCTGGTTCCTGAGATGTTACGTGCTCCTCTAGCTGTAACTCCACTTCTTCCGTTATAATGAAAGCGAACAAGGGTAGGCGGCTTTGGACTGGACGGAATAATGTAATTGTTTGTAAAATTACGTTGATTTAAAACTCTTGATGTACCACGACTGTGAGTTTGAATTCGACCTCTTTTTATCTACAAAGTAAATGCGAACTCGAAGAAGGAAGATAATACCCATGCTTGTGAGACAACATTCTCAATATAGAAAAGTTAGTTAGGTGAATCATATAGATATTTTTATTGATTGACGTATCGCTACAATGAGTTTTGCCTAGTATAATGAAATTTAGAAAACTTTCCGCTGTTCATTTCTTAAGTGTATGGCTTTCCATCAATTTATATGATTTCCCCATTATGTTTATCATAAATACCCTGATATTCCTTTTTTATAAATTTAATTTACATGATTTTACTATATTGACTATTACTTATCAACTTAAAGCTTCCTTCCTCTTGGAATAACATTTCGACTTTAAAAGTAACATATTCTTTATTCATCGAGGTCTTAATTAATTTGAAAGTCCACTTTTTTAAAAGTATAACGTAGGTTGTACTCAGTAATTTAGTGTGCTGCGTGTTGATGCTTGTAGTGATGGTGAGAATCTCAATGTGAATATCGACATTGTGATAGTGGGGAATCTAGCTGACGAGTTTCATAACGCACATCTTCGATTCCAATGTTATCGAAAACCCAAATACGCCAAAACGTTATTCAATTCATATGTATAATATATCAATCTAGACATTTTGTTGTATAATTTATTCAACAGGTTATTAGAATTAAAATTCAACCCATTGTTTAACACGAAATATTAAGTGTATTAACCATGCGATATTTTACACTTACTGGAGTATTTGAATGTTTCGGAATGATTGATTGATCCAACAATGGTGATGACTGTTTCGGTAAAACACTATCTGACAAAATCTATAAATGAAACAACAACAGAATCCGAAGATTTACTGCATTCAGATAAAATAAATATATCAGGAGATGATAAGGTATATGTAATTAAATACCTGGAACCTAACATTGAATAGTAAGATGTGTAAACTTAATTTTGATACTAAGTTTATCTCCTATTGTAACTGTTATGATCCTGTTCACTCCAAGAATGATAATCCCACAAATTCAGCTAGCATCCGATTGCTTACGCGAAGTTCTGCTGTTTCCAAACTATTAATTATAATAACGAGTAAACTTAAAGAAGTACCTTGCATTATGTATACTCACATGATTGTGTAAATAAAATATGACACCATAATGCATTGTAAATGATGAATCCCTATATTTATATAACGAGGATATTTACGGTATGAATCTGAATAACGCTAGCAGGCAAACAACAGCAATTTATGAACGGATAATATAGCAATATTTGACGAGTCAAATAAAGGCTTAAAATCGACATAATATATGGATCCAATTTACCAATCCTTTAGTATATGTATACTAAATCTGTGGAGAATAGCTTTCAGAGTTTTACATTTTCATTTATTTTGGTAATTTTAATAGTAGCCACTTGTCTATGTAATGTGTATATAATTGATTCAAGCCTGGTGAAATAAATGAGCAATTAAAATATCCGTAATAGTGGCTTTGAATCTATCTGTGAGCAAACAGAATAGGTATAATTAATGTTTACTATATAATATTGTGGTATATCCTATTCATATAAATCTGCTGCCATTTTCATTATTATTAAGTTTATTTCTAGCTTCCTAAATGATAAAATTAACTCGGAATATGATTTGTGATGAGCATTTGTCGTAATAAGAATATGGAGATTTTTTTCGAAAAAAAAACTAAACATAATGTCAACTAAATGAAACTTAAGTGATAGTAAACACTAGTAAACAATTTATTCTAAAACGTTGTTGAGAAAGAGCAAAAACAACTAAACAGATTTATTTCTAAAGTAATGTAAATAATCCTTGATGGTGTTGTATTGTAAAGCCTTGATTATCACTCTGATCAATCTCCTCAGAGCCTACTTTAAATAGAGAGGTTCAGATCTAGAAGTAACTTACAAGTAAACAATTAGTACCTTTAAAAATAGTAAATTTATTGAGATATTCTGTTTACAAAATAATAGAATGGTTGTTATCAAACCATATGATGAACTTTGACGTCCAAACAAAAGCTATTTCTTGGTATCGTTAAGTAGATATTATACAATGTTAATTATAAGACTTGCATCATTCAAATAATAACTATTAATTCGCGACCAGTTTAGGACAACTTTCGTTTCCGTTATGAGGATCAGTTTAACGTTTTAATGGCTTTCTTTCAAAGTAATCATTGAAATGATGCTTAAAAGTTGGCTTATTCCGAAATCAGTTTCACCATGGTAACAATCGATCGAAATCTAGCCAATGTTATGCTGACTGTAAAGTTGATTATATCTGTACCCCTAATACACTATTATACTATAGTACCTTGGAATCTCTATAATAAAATCACCAAAAAATTATTTAAAACATGCCTAGAAATCTCATTAAAGGAGACTACTAATAGACGAGCTTATAAATGTGTCACGATTATTCTGCTGGATTCTAAACTGCAATGAAATGTTCCAAGCAGTAGACTTCGAATAAATAATTTTACAATGATTGAATTCACTCATAAAAAATATCGCTCTCTCTGATATGGAGCAACTATAGGCATATAGTTTGTGACAGGAAAGCTTGTATAGAAGTCACATTCAATACCTTTGATTAGTTTTACGCACTGAACTTCTCAAAGTTCAGTTTTTATCTCTCAAATCTCAATTTGAATAATTTTATCTTTCGTTTGCCTTAGAAGGGCTGTCAGGACGCGAATGTGTCACCAAGACTCATTCCTAAATATCAGAAGCAGAATGATTTAAACCTTTGTAGTTGATAATCTAAACACCAGTGGTTCAGTGAATAACAAGCTAGTGTTTGAGGTACGATGTCTGAATCTTAATGTGATCATCAAAACTGGGGTTCAGGAGTATCAAGTTGATAGGTCTTAAATAGGACCAAACACACGTCCTGTATTTCATCGCTAGTAACAGCAAATCAATTACAAAATACATGCTTTACAAATATTCAGAATAATGTCAGTGTCACACAATACTTAGGAATAAAATATTATTTAAACAGATAGTGATATTCATTAACGAACATTTTAAACTCACTTCATTGACAAACTGTTTAGCTTCGTTACAACGACGTGTCATTGAGACTTCTCGTCTTTCTTTTCTAAGTTTTTCACGTTCATCAGTATTATGACCAGTGTTTGAATGTGATCTTTCATTTGGTTTAGACGATTTAATTTGCTGTTTTACAATTGTACAATCATGTTGTTGATTTTGGACATTAAGATTAATTTTACTTTCAATTAGTTTTCTAAAAAAATATAAATCATATTTAAATGGAAAAATAAATACAAAATAAAAGTTAAAAACCTCTATATCAAGATGTAAATTTGATTTACACAATCAAACAACTATAATTTGAGAAATAAACTAAGTATTAGTATGCGGTTGTAGAGATTGTTGAGCTTTTATTCAGATTAATGTTAGACCGTCATTGAAAACTCGGAAGCACTTGATGACAGTCTCATCCTGGTGTGCGACTCTTCAGCAATGCTCAACCACGATCCCGTACGCGTAACTCTAACCCAGGACCTCCGGCCTCACGCACGGAAGCTTAATCTCTGAACCACTGGGCCGGCATCCATTGGTGGTAATGACCAACATCAATCAATACACGATATTGTGTGACCATTTTTCAATAGTGATCGGTTCACGATCTCAATAAATAAACATGCTAATAGTTTTCAAATAAACACAACATAATATTATGGATTATTTAAACTGGAAAATGTTAATCATCTGAATTAAGTTTGCCTGGTTTAACTTCAGATAGATTCGGTGTTATTTATGATTAGATTACAAGATAGGATTAAACATCTGATGTCTATTTAGTTCAAATATAGAGTAGAGCATAAATAACATTTTCAATATTAATATCTAATAACGTTAAAACCTATTCATTTATCAATAATAGATCTTTATTAAGTAGTTAAATCAACTGAATCGGTAAGAATTCAAAATACGAAAAAAACTTACTGATTATGTAATTGGTCGCCTTTGAAATTTAATTCATCAGGTAACTGTAGTTTTTGTTGTTGAGAAGTTGCCTCACTTTTGTTTGGTTCATCTAACTGCATAGATGGATTAGCTTGGCTTTGTTCTTTATTCATTTGAATAATTGTTTCAAGAAGCTGTATTACGTAGTTTAATGGAAAAATAAAAAATTGGTTTTCATTTCAATATTCAGTTATGATAATTTATTGATAAGTATTTTTGTGGAGGAACTGTAGAAATTGAATGAATACTTCATTACATGCTGTCAATAACTAGAAAACTACTGAAGATCGACACAATGACTAATTTTGAGACATATAAACTAAGGTCTTTAACAATTGATGGTGATTAATGCAAAGAATTTAATCAGGCAGTTTGTATATATCTCATCTTATTAGTTAATGAGTTGACCAGTTGATCATATACTTTTGCTCTGTTTCCTTCAACCTTTTTCAAAACTCCTACACTAGATATTTTGGTACTTCAGAATCGGCAATTGTTGGTCAAGTGAAATATGCATTTAAATATCTTGAGACAATAACAAAATAGATCTTGGAAAATTAGTTACTATTCTGTTCTTAATCAGCAGTGATTGATGAAATAGCCATTTGGAGGTCAGCAATGTTTAGATTGATAGCACATCAAGGTAGAGTGTAACAATTAATGGAGATCATATTGTGGATATTTCAGTTTTTGGTCATTACATTTTATAAAAACAAGAAGTCAAAAGAAACAAATTCGTTTTACAAGTATAACTTCTGATATTTAATAGTCGATAAACGATTGATTTGAATATACTCATTAAATTATAAAACATTATATTCAGCGAAGGAATCCTATTCAACGAGTTCAATTTTAAAACTGTAAGACGGTACATATATTTATGATAAATTATAGGTCAATGAATAATTGTATTATTCATTTCTATTGGTTGTTTGTTATCTGGTGAATTCACATTTGTAATAAGATTACAATAATTTTGTTCATAAATATTGGATGTACTAATGTGTAATGGAACACATGGTACAATATACTTACCTTCATTATAAGTCTGTTAGAATTTGATTATGATCAAAGAACCGATTGATGTTAAACCACTATTGAAAACCTGGAAGCACTGGACGGCCGTTTTATCCTATTGTGGGACTCCTCAGTAGTGCACATCCACGATCCCGCCGGCGGGATTCGGACCCAGGGCCTTCAGTCTCGGTCTAAAATCAATCGGTTCATGATCTCAATCAAAAACTTAATAATCTCAATAACTCTCATACTGAGAATTTGATTAGTTTTTAATGTGAAATCCAATTACATCACTTTGAACAAACAATTAGTTATTAAAGGAGGAAATTAACGAAACATGAGAAACATATAATCAATAGGATGAAACGTTTACATGTAAATATCGTAAAATTGAAATGAAAATGAATACATGGTAATCAAGAAATCTTTCTCAGTAATAAAAATAGCGACCAAAGTAAATTAGAAATAAAGGAGAGGAAAAACGAACAAATATAAAATAAAAAACTAGGGGTCTAACAAATTATTTTTATTCAAACAGCTAACTCAAATTTCAACTTATAGATATCCCAAGCTTCTGAAATGTAAAAGAGATTAAGGAGTATGCTCCTTAATACACTTAACTGGGATTTTTTTTAATGATGTTGAACGATGAATCGTAGGCTGAATATCATATATCTATTACATTCGGCAGATTCCATGATGTAATTAACCTATTTTGAACTCTAATAAGCACGTTGATCAACACTTATTATTTATTAGCATAGATATTTTTAAGGAGTTTTAGTATACTTACCACTGTTTCAATTTTCATCAGTGGCACAATAGAATCATAAGTTACAAATAATTAGTAATTAATTAACATTCAAAAATATTTAAAATTTTCAAAAAAAGTGAAGAAAGGTTGAGTAAGAACTGATTAAAAATGACGAACCACCCTGGAAACGATCGGGATTATGCTTCATGTTAATAGATAACATACTAGGGTAATAAAACACCAATCACAAGCGGTAACTTCAACTGATATATTTTTTTGCCATGTTTACCGAGATCAGCTTGTACGTCAGAATGTTACAATGAAAAGAAACAGTTAAAAATAAGAAGTATGATTACAGTAGTGGAAATTACGCCATTTCATCTTGTTACATACATTTAGGTAATTGAAATAAATTTCAAGAGCTATCAACGAAAAAACGTTAGTGTGACCCTGTAGTAAGTAGTTGATACATTGAGTCGCTTTATTCCAACCTCCTAAATTTAACTACCGTTTCTGAAGAATTAATATATTTTAAGTTTGCCAATAGCCTAAGATTTTCGCACTAGAAAACCAAGTGGTCAGACTTTTCAATTGTCAAAATCAAATTGTTTGCTTATAAAATAGACAAAAAGATACGAGTAGAGAAAACCGGTTACTGAGATATATGAGGCGAAAACTGTTGGAACTATCGTTCGTATATATGACAGATGACCAAAATTAGTAACATTAGACATTTACTACCTCAGATAACATCCATTTAAAAATTCATAGAACAAAGAATGTGAAAGATATTAATCAATAGACACTCAGTCGACTGTGACAAAACTGAAAAATACTAATACAAACTACAATGCAAATTTTTAAACCCATTACAAATAAATTAAATACTTACTTCTTGATTACGTTTATGATCTTGTTCTAGTTGAACTGAAACTTGATCAATCACATTTAAACGATTGTCAATTTCACTTAATGCTTTTACTACATCTAAAGGAAAATAATTTGATGCTTGTTTATTACATGATAATAATGATGTGATCTCATTATTTATTGATTGTTTATTATCTTGATTTGTTATATTGGAATTTTGTAACATTTTTGCAGTAACTAAATCACTAATTAATAATTCTGGTTTATTATCAGATGAATTGTTCGTTATTGTTGTTGTTGTTACAGTTTTTATTTGTGATTTTGTTAATAACGATGCTTGATTACGTACAATATTTGATGGACTAATTGTATTATTCATTTCTATTGGTTGTTTGTTATCTGGTGAATTCACATGTGTAACAGGATTACAATGATTTTGTTCATAAATATTGGATGTATTAATGTGTAATGGAACACATGGTACAACAGACTTATCTTCATTATTCCAATCTATTAGGTCAGATGTATGTATACTTAGAAATTGTTTTGCGACATGCTAATTGAGAATAAAGGTAATATGATTAAGTGAATAAGAGTAAGAAATAATTCAAGAAATATTGAATATGAAAAACATTAGGAAAAATCATTGATGTGTGGAATGAAATACTTTGATTTACTTTACATCATAAAAAATTGTTTTTAATTGAGAAAAGGAAATCGTGAAAATTAAGATGAAGAAAATATTCAAATTCTCTTTGTTTTGTTCTTCATAATGAGGTCCATTTAACATATACGTATCGAGATCAACTTTTATTATTATTTGAACACATAAACATTGATAGAAACGGGTACCGAATACATATGCACCAAACAAGTCACCCTCCGTGTCCACCAACCCGATTAAAGCGTCTGACATTCGCTTTTCGTCCTCTCAATTTCGTAAACAACACCTCTGCCGCGAGAAGAAATCGAGTCGGACTTGACTGACACTAGCTGTATACTTGTGGTCATGTGAGAGCAGTTCGATAGGGAGGGCCAACTCTCCCCATCCTCGGCCGTACAAGGGAAGTTGGGGGGCAAGATCAACTAGATTGTTAGTCCAAAAATATTGCTGTGTTTGTATGTTAATTTAAGTGATTGAAAAACAGACTTGACAGTTTTAAAATATGTCATTTTCTAATATAACAGTTATCATTCCTTCACAGTTTCTAATTATTTTTTTCAGTTTTCCAGATATATTAATTTACGCAGCATAATGAATTGTAAGATAACTGTAAAATTTCAAAGTAATACATTTCTAAGCACTAATCACTGCTTTTATAAGGAGACTAAATACAGAAATAAACTATTTTACGGTGAGCAGAGACAAGTAATTATTGGAAATTTTATGACCTTAATTTTCATCTTTGATCGATTATTGATTGTGTAATCAGTAAATTAGTCGTCGTATTTTTGGTTAAATGGCTTAAACGACGATAGATTTAGTTCTCTAATACAATACTTACCAAAGGAGAAGATAAAAACTGACACCGGCAGTAAATTCTATTCACCATACAAAAAAGCAACAACGATCATAACCAGATACACTCATTTGTATATCAATCTTACAATTGATGATTAGTCAGCGAGTAGCACACATAACCCAAATACAGGAAATAAAAAATAGATGTAACACAAAATTACTGCAAAATGCTGGCTACACATTATACTGAACGAAAAGAATATTGTATTGAATAAATATCATTTTGAAATAGATCAATGTTGTACTCAGAAGTTACTTTACCGAATTTGGAACAGTAGTAATACCGAACAGGAATCACAGTGAATTAAGAGGTTATCTTCTGTTTTTCTCTCGTCGTAATGAGCTATATATGTAAATATATATATACTCAGCAAAAACACTCGCAGTTTTTAGTAGATTTTGAAGTTAAGAACCATATTCGAAATGTCCACTGCCACGTCCCTATTTCATAGTACATTGGTAAATCGTAAAATATAGGAATATATAGATAGTTGTCATGAAAGTCATGGGTTTGTGTACGTCATACATTATCATCATACTTATTAGTTAGTACAAACAACAGTATAACGTAACGAAGAAAGAAAATAATTAATTGATAACACAAAAACTTACTGCAATATCATTGGACAACAGTTGTTCAACACAATCTGAAGGCCATGCTGCATTCTTACACTTAGTAAATGTATTGCAACAAACTGCAAAATCAAAATTCGTGGTAAAAATTAATTTCTTTTATAATAAATCCCTTTTAAATAACAAATTCAGAAGAGTGCATATATATATATTACTCCAAATATTACCCGTGAGAAATGTGGCATCATTGGAAAAATTAAGAGATTAATATAGCCTAACAGTTTAGTAAAACATCTAGATCCAAGAATAACTCAATTTTCAGTCAAAATGATTTTGATCCAATCAAAACTTTTATGAAAGAACTATATTTAATGCTTTTGGTAATATTTTAACAGACAAAGTAGTGAACTTCCCGCTTTCTTATTACTATAAGAATGAAGTAGTACTAGTTTGAGACCAAAACACCTTAGATAAATTATAACTCAGATAGTATCTGCCAGTGGAATTCAGAAAGTGCACTTATTTCTATTTCAAATTCGTAAATTGAGAGTAACTGTACGTTTATGTTGATGTCTAGATTGAAACTTGAACCCAGTACCATTTGCTTCAAATGTCATCTTGTCATCATTTGTTGAAATACCGATGACTGTTGGGTTGCAGAGTAAATTTCATGCTCGATGTAATTAACTCTAACTAACATAGCTGACATTTATAACGTCTGAAGTTTGATGATGTAAGGCAATGTATTAACTACAGCAGAGAATATACGACAGTAGTTCTAAGTGAAAAAGTTCTTAGTGATCATGTTTTCTTCGTATATTGGATATATATAGCAATTTAGTATTTATTTTACAGCTTGAGGTTTTCGGTATCACCTCTTTTATACACTCAAAAATGTTTGTCCACATTCATTTTATTACCATTTAAAAAAGTAAGTGAGAATGTGACTTTTTTGTCTAGGTATTCGATTGTCAGTCGTTGATTGGCGAGCTGGTAATAATCTTCAACTATCGAGGTACGAGTAACTGGGTGAAATTATTTTTTAACATAAAAACTGAAATATTTATCGAATTGCATGTCCCCCCTACATGCTAATGAAGTAAAAATTATGTAACAAGATGCTAAAAAAGTCAAATATAACTTAGAAAATTGTTATCATAACTTCGGTTAAGTATTGTGCTACCTAATTATTCAAACTCAGTAAAGTTCGTTTCAATGAAATTCAACAATCCCCACGGCTCCTTACTAACAATTATTATGTTCTCACTAGTGACTAGCTTCGAGAGGGAAACAGTGAAAAACCAAGACCAGTGGAGTTCAACCGCATTAGGTGTGAAGAAGTTGTCCACCTATAACAGTGAAAGGTGTTTGCGTAATTTCGTGGATTGATTAAAATTAGGCAATAGCACGATTGGACGCCGACCCAGTATTCTAAAATTTATGTGTTTGTGAGCGAGATCGAAGGTCCTGCTCCTTCAGCGTGCATGACTGTAGATGAGCACTGTTGAAGAGTCCCTTATTAGAAAGAAATGACGGTCCAATGAATCCAGATTTTCAGTGAGGATGTACCTTAAATGAGTTCAGAAATTTAATAATTCCACAGCCGCTCATTGACTGCTTCATCAACACTTATATTCATTTATCAAATGATACTCTAAAAAATATAACAACAAGCTAATTAACTGCATCTAGATTCAACTTACTTTGAGTATTAGGTTCACCATAATCAACAAAATTAAATTGAACTCCACAATCATTATAAGATTTTTTGTCATTTTGAATAGGAGAATCAAATTTACACTGTGATACGTTATGATTTTCCACAGAAATAGGTTTAATATTTTCTTTAGTTGTTTCCAATACCCATGAAATATCATTTAATGTAGGCTGTTCTTCATTATTCATTGGATATGTTAATATTTGTAATGTATATTCATTTGATGTTGAGTTACAGTCTTTAGTGTTTTTTAAATTTAAAGGATATGTTTCTTTTGAAGGTATATTATCATTGTTAGAAATTTTATTATCAGTTTTATGATTATGAAATTTTCTTTCAATTGGTAATTGTAATAGTTTAACATTACTACTTAATTGATAATTAGTAGTAGGATATTTTTGATTTAATTTTAATAATTGATATATATTGGACTTATTTGGTAAATCATATTCATTTGAAAAGAAATGAGTTTTTAATAAATTTAATTTTACAGAATTTTGTTGTTTAAACTTTTTCATTGTTTTTGAATTGAATTTAGTCAGGGATTTAATTTCATCCAGAGATAGTAGTTTATTTATATTACTATTATTATCATTATTATTACTATTATATTCCCATGGTAATATTGAACAATTTGCCGGGAGTTTTAGTAATTGGATATTATTCATTGATGCTAATTTCTTTTTTATTTTAATATTTTTAGGCAAATATAAATGTTTGTTCACAGGTGATATGAAATTTTCTTTCAACATTTCATTATTATACAAGATAAGGGGAAATTGATATTCAGTAGTATTTAGGGTTTCCTGTAAAATGAATAACGGTATAATGATTTGTATAATAGAAAGAAGCTTAAACTTCGTAACATGAACCATATTTACGAGTTGCAATCGGTGATAACAGTTTTACATCTGAAGTGGTTGAATTAGACTCTCCATAGTTTTTCATTCACAATCAGACAGACGTTTCACATTCATCTACATTTCATAATAATTTAAGCGCTCTATCGTGAATCTATATAATAAATATATAATTCTACTCTAATAAAATCAATCGATGTAATCAACTAATGATGAAGTGAGTCAACAAATCTTACCATTTTAAGTATCCTAACTGGTGGAACACATGAATGAGGAAGACAATTAGGCAATAACATAGGTTCATGTTCAGCTACTTTCTTAGTTCTAAAAGAAAAAAAGTGAAAATATTTACAACATATGTATTTACATGAATTCAGATGGATGGATATTAACTGGATATTGAGTAAATGTAGTATTATGCTTCAATATTTCCAAGACTACATACATAAGAACTCGATCAAATTAATGAGAAATATGCATCTATTTACTGAACATTATATATACTACTGATGCTATGTCAGGTGTAGGGAATGTATAGTGGTCACAGACGTAAAACTTTAGATATGAGCCACGTCAAATGGCACAAGTCGGCAGCCATAACTATAGTTTAACAAAAGTCATTACCCATGACGAATTTTCATTTTTTTCAATAGGTATAGAGAATGTTTTTGACATTATGCGACTTTGGATACAGCTTTAACGAGCTTGTGAAGCTTCATAAATCTGTTCTTCTTTTCATTGAGAAATTAAAAAAGATATTATAACCTATGTGATAAACAAGCAACTTTGTGTTTGGTTCGCTACAAACCCTCAGGTCATTTATTTAAAACACAATATTCTGATCATTTAGTAAAGCAACTGAATATTATATAACACTCAGTTGTTAAATGCGAGGTTGCAAGTAAAAACCACACGCTGCCTATTTTGGCCCTGACGACCGGCTAACTTTACTAGCTCGTATACAAACACCATGAGTCACAGCTATGTAAATGTAACTTTAATTAACAAATGATTGACATTATCAAATGTCTTGTAAATTCTCAAATAAAAATCAGTATTTTAATATTCCCACCTACACTTGGTACTATAAATTTCGTTCGGTTTCCTGCGTTTAAACAATCGCAACGAAAATCAAGTAATGAAATTAAACTTCAATAAGAAAATAAAATAACATCAACATTCAGTAATAAAATGCATCTGACTAGTCTTTCAGCCTTTTCAGTTGGTCATATACAAAAGATAAAGCGTAGGAAAAACAAATATTCAAGCACAAAAACTCCGAAAAATACAACTAGGCTTTAATGCTAACTAGGTAATGACGTTCAAGGTGACAGAAAACTATCAAGTTGTAAGTAGTATCAAGGTATCAGAAAATTGGAAAAGGTAGTTTGAAGAATTGAATTAGAAAAAAAGCACTTAGGAATACCGTTCCCGGTAAGATGTTACAACTATTAACAAAAATTGTGCAATATTATGATCACCTTAATAATAGAACATTATTAAGGAAAATTAATTGAAATTCAAATCAAGAGCTGTTTTCAAACGTAGACCAGTAGACATGGAACTAAGTGAAATGTAGCAAAAAGAATTAAGTTGACTGGGTCATTGAATGGTAATGTAATTAATATGTCACGCATTTAATAAAACAAAATCCTACTTCAGCAAATGACTCTCATAAACATTTTCTCGTGCACAGTTTAAAGAATTTGGCTGAAGCCATGATTTGCGTTTAAGTGATGACCAGCTTGGTGTGCCTTTTTCATAAGACGGGGGAACAGGTAACATGTATCTAAAGGTATAGAAAATAAAAAAACAAGACGAATAAACCTAAGTGTGGCAAAGGGTGACTTTGTACAAAAACAATTATGTGATAAAATCTCTGTCATTTAGCGACAAAGCACCAAAACTTTGAGTCACTAAAATATATTACTTATAAAACAATGAGTACTAACAGATGAATGATGAAATTATCGATGCGGTTAGTAGTTTCTAGTCAAAATTTAAAGAGATTAGAATCAAAACAGACGATATTTTCACAACGGTCAATTATTTTTAATTAATAACGAACATTAATAATTAGAGCAGAACAGTTTCTTGATAGGTAAATCCGACAAATATAGTGATAATACCCCCATGATAGTTGACAGAAAGAATTACCCGATTAATAGTAAACTGAAAAACTTGAGGATAATCTGCAATATTTCACCATCTTACTTCACGCTAAAACACTAAAACGTAATTAAAAACAAGATTTTCCCCAGAACTTAAGTCTGATGTCCAAAAGTAACATTCTTTTTTGGAAAGAAAATTGTTAATCAAGAAAGTTTTAATCAAACACTAGATCCAACTTTTTTAGTCTTAAACGTTAGTTTTTATTTATTCATCCCATGGGTCATTAATCCTTATGATTACTAATATACCTTCAACTACGGACTTTTTGATATATTAAAATCTTTGTGTCAGTAGGTCTGAGTTCAGCAAAGGAACTGAGTAGAAAAAAGACTGTACGTGAAATAACTGCAAACACTATTTAACATTAGTGAATTTGTAACACATTATATGCACTCGTAACTTTCACAAAACGAGTCACAAAAATTTATCAGACCTTGGTTGGTAGATATACAAAATGATAATCTATTTAACTAAGAGAAAAAAAGCAAAATATCTGATAAATTAGCTTAGTTTAAGATGACATTCATCACACAAGCATGGTAAGGTAAAATCTATTGAGATAATTTTCGTAAGTTTAGAACAGAAAAGTAGATGGATAAGGTAAACTCACTAAATTATGACTAAAATTAGTTGTGAAAACGGGCCAAATTGTTATCAAGGCAGTTGAGGGTTAACTATCGATTCTTAAATACAAAGATAAGGTTTAGGCCATCCATCTGCTATGGCTTTTGTGCATTTAAACGACGTGGAATCGAACTATTTATTGATAGCCATGGATGAACTTATCAAATTCACATCGTTTTCAGTATCTGACAGGTGTCATGCTATTGAGCCCTGTAGGCAATTTCTGCTCGAAGTCAAAGGTGTTTTATAATATGCTTATTTTTATTTCTAGTTTTTTTTAACGAAATGTAACCAAAATTTCAGAACTCAATCGCACTCGTCCACTTTTCTATTTTGAAATTCTAAAAATTTCGTTACAAAAACCAGCAAACGTTATCTCGAGAGGTTAAGACAAGACCTCCTAAACATGTCTTTTAAGCACTGTATTTTGTGCGGTATTTCCAATTTCGCCTAATTCGAAATTGAGTTTGAAGTGTTTCTTCCCATAAAACATCGATATTGGGCTTTCTAACACTAAGCTCACATTGATTAGTGTTTTAACGTCAACAGCGCAGAAAGGTTTACAAAATCAACTTGAATTGTTACTGTCTGAAATCAGATATCATGGATAATGTTCTGACGAAAAGGATCACCTGTCTGATTAGGCCATATTATTCAATACTTTAGTTCTTATGAGACAGTATAAACTGATTTAAATAAATATACCAAAGTTTATAAAGTAAGCAACATAATCTCATCCGAAAACACAAAAAGAATATCCATTGAAAGATTTTGATATATTTTTAGAGGGTTTTAAAAGGACGAATTTAAAATGTTACTACAGCCTTCCTATACACAAATCATTAACTCACACTTTATCTTAACTATTTAAAATATTATAAAAAAGTATGTGGCTAGAGTAAACATGAACAATTATTTTAAGCTAGAGTTGGTGATATGACATGAAACAGTTTTCCATTGAAAAACAAACGAAAATAAATTGAAACACGGTGAATGTATATGAGTATACTTTCTTTTAGTTAACAATATATAAGTGTAAATGCTAAATGAAATTCTTAGCTTATTTATTTACACCACTAACAGGTTCTTTATCAGTAACTGTTAGCATACAATGGTCATCAGAATTCATTTGTTTCAGACGTTTAGTAGAAAGAACATAACCGATATGTTGACAATATACATTTCTTATTCATGTGGAGGCAATTCTTTCAAAGATAAGTGAGGTAGTCATTTATTTGTCTCCAAATTGCCCATGTAAAATCTCAGGATTACGTTACATTACACTCTAAATTTTTAACTGACAAGGGAAGATTAAATGAGTACAACCAGGAGTAAGATACACGTGAGTATACCTTAAGCCAAGCTATAAGAAAAGGTTAACGAGATTGTTAGCAGTGACGTTATTTATTTTAACCTCGAGTACAGTTTACTATGCCTTTGAAGATGATGTGGTGAAGTTAAGTTATTTTTAGTGACAATACAACACAGGTTTCTCATATAGTCTATAATATAGACTTGATATATCGAGAAGAATCCGTGTGTACACGTAGTTAATTGCACTTTTAAAACCTCCGATGAGCGAATTAAAACATGTTATGATTTTCATGAAGAACAACCAATTTTCATGAAAAATGATCTTACGCGAAATAAAACTTTTACTTAGTAATTAGTAGTGTCTAACTCGACCAGATAATTGTAATTATCTTAGAAGTAACTTTCCCGGTGAAATGCAAATCAGTGGCAAGTTGCGTCTAGTCTGGTAATATTGTATATGGAGAAAATATGGAGGAAATCTAAAAAAGAAGGAAATGAGAGAAGAAGTAGATCAACGAAACAGTCAGAAAATACAATGGAATTATATTTCATAGTAAAAGCAATCAGCAATGAATAACAGTAATTCAAACAACAGACTAACAAAATCTGATGATCAAAACTAAAATATGATACATTAAAGTTCCTCAATAGTAACCTATCAACTCTAAAGTCCGTATGACAGATAAAAGAATTTTACGAATGACTATGTCTTTTAAAGTATTGTAGTAAATGAATATCCGTCAAAGAAATAGAGGAAACGAGAGCTAACCAAACCATCGTCCAGCAGACGTTTAATGTGAGCTAGCGAACACTGGTTCAATGCAGAATGCTAGAGTTGTCATAGAGTCGGCCGATAAACCAGGAGGTGAAAATATAACGGGTTCGGAGACTCAGGTGAAAACAGGATTTTTCATTTATATTCAAGTTATTCTAAATTTGTATGTTGGTTTGCTATTAGAGGTTATAAGAAAGAGTTATGTAGAGAAAAGCTCAGTGGTTGACGTAGGCTTGTGTAATACATGAGGTATTTTGTTATGGGATAGGAACAGATTTGCACCACTTGTTGATATAATCAGTCATCAACAGGATATAGAGGTTTCCGTGTCTATTATCGAGAGTGACCCGATTATATCAATACCAATAAGTTGGTGTAGCTCTTCCTTTTTCATTAGCAATAAAAGTGCATCCGGTGTTTTTCAAGCGAATTTCGTAAAACTGCATGTGTTACGATTCTTGCAAACATTTAGCTAAAATTTAGTAAATAAATGGCCACGTAAACTTGGGAAACACAATGTGGAACCTCAAGTAAGCAAGTTGACTGTCGTCTAAATTAGTCACACGCTTCACTCTCACACAAGATATTATTCATTAAAACTATTCCAATTTACTGGTGAGGAACAAACTGTCGTCAAACCATCGCAGATTTTACCATTTTGTATAAACATAAGGAATCTCTAAATTTTATTTGCTAGATCTTCTGTAGATGGTTTTTCACCACTGTTCCTGTTTCATTACAAAACACCCCATGTATTACATCTACTGATAGTAATTATAATCACTATCATATTATAGTAATTAATTACTGAGACTTTCATCACTACCTAAAATGACTAGCCTTTGATAAAATTACCAGCTGATAATACCTAAGCATCTACACGGAAGGAACATTGTGTGCTTGAAGAATATGAAAATAAGCGTGTGATGGTGATGATAATTATGATCACTTCTTTTATAAATCATAAAAGCACATGCTAAAATTAGATCTGACGACTCAAAAAGCATGTAAAATGAACTCAAACTTGATACGTGAATCAAAAAGCAACACTGAAGAACAAAATAGTCATAACACCACTAAAATACGGCAGTCAAGCCAGAAGGTGTTTAAAACACCTCTCAAACATTACGCCGCAGATGATTGTCCAATGATGAATTTAAACGAACATTTTTTGCACCTCGGAGAAAGTACAAAATCATCCGTCTTTATCAAAAATAAGCAAAATGTAAATGGAAAGCTATTATAAAAACAAGTCTACACGTTTAAGAATGAGATTATTGAAATTTTTGAGAATTCTTTCAATTTTGACACTTCGGTATATTGAACTTCAGATGTTAATTTCAACGAGTTAATTGTCGCTCAATTTTTTTACAAAAATAAAATATTTTTGCCCCACTCCGTAACCCTATATTGCAAATTTGATGATCATATTCTTTATTATATCACAATATGACGCCGGACATGTATAAGAGAATTTTCTCCAAATAGGTAACGAAGAACAGCCGTAATAAGAATCCAGTCCATGTTATTGGTAGCTAAATGAGTGAGGTTTTTTTATCCAGACAATACGTTATTCGGGAATTTTAATGCAGGCAGTTAACTAAGACAAGTTTTGTTGACGTTTTGTTAACTCCAGTTAGACAGGAATGACCTGGCCAATGACAAAGTCGAAAGGCACGATTGCTCCAAAAACTGGTTAGCTTAATCTTGATAACTAAGTGAATCAGATTTTCTTGTCCGTGGATAGTGAAAATAAACTAAAGAGGTGCTCAATATAGCTACATCTCATGAATATTACTGTGTCATGTGGCTTTGACCTATTACTCCAAGCGTAGGCCAATCTAAAAAACAAAGTATTGCTAAAATGAATCTTGAATCGTATGAATTCGTTGTTCTTTTTTAGTAGCACTTACTAGTTAGATTTAGTGAATTACGAACTGAGCATGTAATTCAGTTTGTACAAGCATAAATATATTGACGAATACAGTCTCTCAAAGCTGTCAATCCATAATGTACCGTCTGTCACTTTGATGCCTTTGATTTCTCAAGCTGTTATGAACAAACTATCTACAATCTCGGTTTGAATAAACAGTACAGGTTTTAAGTATTTCGTGAGTTTGTTTGGCACTTCAATTATTTTCATCCCTAAACGTATGTTCACGATATCAAATGTTTTTCATTCACAGTGGAATAATTCGTTGGCTGAAATTTGTTGTGGATTTTGTGCGACGTGATCGGTTTACTAGACATCTGTGGATGATAATTAGGAAATTTCCGTTTATTTTGACAAATTTTTATGAGGTGTAGTGAGTTTTAACATTCTTATTTAGTTTTCTGAAAAGTTTATATATTTCGTGAAAAGGAAAAATGTAGTGTTACTGAGCGACTACATAAAAAAGAAATAAGACAACGACACTCTAGGATACAAATTCATCGTTGATGAATTGAGAATCTTTGGTTTTATAGAATAATTGTACTAAAGGATTGTCAGAGTATCATGTAAATACACAAGATAATTTACATGGAAACTTCACATGAGAGTCTCTGAGATGCTAAGAGTTCACTACTTCATACGAACACCAACAAATTTGAGCACCTTCAGCAACATTTTTCGACTGATTGCATTTCTTAGCAATCAATATTAACATGAAGATGGCACAGGAACTCAGTGTTTGACAACACTTTTACCAGCAACACCTTCTAATATTATTTGTACCCACCGAGAGAAATCAAAAGACAGAGTCGAGGAGATCGGAAGAGTGCATTTGGCGATTACCAATATATCGGAATTCTCTGATCTAATCTGGCTAGCGATTGCGGTAGATGTTGGGCACAGCGTTACCACACGTGATCTGGTGCGGATGCATGACCGAGCGCCTCCAGCTATATGAATCCACTAAAACACATGGTCAGCATCCAATGTCGAAAACTTAGTTTGGGGATTCATTTACCGCTACAGATCACTCCCCTTCTAGTGGGGCAGTAATGATCCTAAGACGTGGCCAGCCAGAAGTTTAAACTCAACGAGTTTGTCGTCGGTAAACACTCTTCTGACAGCTTACCAAGTTTAGTAGCGTCTGGTCGTCTTTCCTTACTATATGAGACCGAGGTACAACATAGTAATAAAAGAAAAGTACAATGAAAATTTCGGCTCCTCGTAAACTGTATCGTTCTTTTCCAGCCGTCCTGGAAAAGAAAAAAGAAAGTGTAAGTGCATGCCGAAATACACTCATGTGTGAGTAAATATATAAGCATATTAACATTTTTTTCTGTTTTAAAAAAAATATTATATACCGCAAAAAGAAAGACCGAGATAATATAAAATGTCGAGTAGTGCTTTACGTGCAGTAGTCGTTTAAATGTTCTGGAAACCTTACTCATCTTCCAGAACTTGACGTTTTTAGTTTATTTTCAGACACATTCGGAGTGTCATCGCTGTCGTTGGTTGTTGGTTGAGGAATTATGAGTGTAGGAGTCGTGTTGTGCGATTGTACCGAAGGGAAATCGACGTGAATAGGATTCCTTCTATATACACTGCTTTTAAGCGATCGATGCTGATGCTATCGTTTGTCCCGTTCTTATCGATTATATAGTACTTAGATTTGCGTTGAAGATATTTGAAACGTCCTTCGTATGCTGATTCGAATAGTCGTCGATGTGCGTCTCGACGAACGAAAACGTGTGTACTATATTGTAAGTCAGATTGAACGAAAACATCGGTTGATTGTGGTCGAGTGGAAGCAGGTTTAAATGAACGCATTGCGTTTGTAAGCCTGTTCGTGTAGGAGGTTAGATCCATGTTCATTGAAGAGGATGAAGGATCGACGAATTCTCCTGGAAGTCGGAGTGTCGTTCCATAAACGAGTTGAGCCGCTGTGTATCCAATGTCAGCTTTCACTGCATTGCGGATACCTAGTAAGACGAATGGAAGAGCGTCGGTCCACTGTGAAACGTTCGCAGCTGATAGTGAATGTTTTAGTTGTCGGTGAAAGCGTTCTACCAACCCGTTTGCTTGTGGATGGTAGGCGGTCGTTCGGAAGCGAGTGCTTCCTAATAGTGTGGTCAGACGACGGAAAAGTTCTGACTCAAACTGACGTCCGCAGTCTGTAGTGATGGTTGAAGGGCAAACGAAGTTTACTACCCATCGTTCGACGAAGGTGCGGGTCACTGTTTCAGCAGTGATGTCCTTGATGGGTACTGCTTCTGGCAATCGAGTGAAACGGTCTACGCAGGTTAAGAGGTAAGAGTATCCATGTAACGGAAAGAGAACACTGAAAATCCCTCTGCAGCTTCTTTGTTGAACAGTATTTCCATTTATTTGTTCCTTCTCCCTTTTGTGTATTCCAACCTTTCTTTCGATCTCGTTTAACCATATCTTTTGTTCTTCAGTCTTCTCCGTTTGAGCCTTTATTATGTGATTTTGATTAAAGACTTATTTTTGTTACCTAATTTTCTATTGCATGTTGCCGGATCATTGACAGTAAGGTTGTGTTTGACTAAGCTCATGGTCACGGCGTGGTTTAGTTTGTGACTGTTAACCTTCTGACTGTCTGCTTGGGAGAACTGCTGCAATCCCTGCAGATAGATATTTGATCCCATCTTATTGGGAATATTTGTATTGATTCTCAGCGCACTACTTTGCGTTAGAGAAACTTCTGACTGTATAGCACAGGCTGTACCGTTTGAGGTGTTTTGTATTTTTGATGTAATTTGTTCTGTTTTCTTAATTAGAACCGTTTATATTCAGCACATAGTTTGTGTTTTGATATAATATAATACGAGTATCTCAAAGACGCGTTGTGAGCTATACAGAGGAACTTGGTCTGGTCTAATCGAATAAATTTTGGGTTCGTCAGTCCGTTGTTCCAACCGAATATTGGTGGTTCGGCCCTTACATCCATTTGAGTCTGATAAAGGTCCCAACAAATCCAGATGAACATGGTCGAAACGAGCATCAGGAGTTTTATATGAGCCTAAGGGACATTTATTGTGTCTGACGACCTTAGATTTTTGTCAGCTTACACAGGAGTGTGCCCACTCTCTCACGTCTTTATTCATACCAGGCCAGCAAAACCGTTCTGCTATAAGCTTGATGGTTGCACGAACACCTGGATGAGAAAGTTTGTGCAATGTGTTGAAGACATTGCGTCGATAATGTTTCGGGACGATTTGGCGATCCCTACCTGTAGATGTGTCGCAAAGTAAGGTTTCTTTACCTGTTCCTATCTGTTTGATGTGTAGTTGTGGACGATAACTCGTGCTGAAGATCAGTGTCTTCTTTTTGAAGCTCGGCGAATTTAAGAAGGTCGATTCCTTGGAAACCGTTCAAGGAAGTTATTATTATTATTATCATTATTATTATTATTATTCACAAACATCTTATGGGTACATAAGTGTTGTGAAGAAACCATTTCGGGTTTCTTCAGAAAATGCAATAATACACAATTTTCAATAATGTTAGCATTATACTTGTCATATTTAAAAAATAAAATATAAAAAAAATTTAGAATAATAATAGTAGAATTTTAATAATCATAAATCGGGTCTGTGTAATTGAGAAGAATATTGAATTGAGTTTAAAGAAGGAAATGGAGAAAATAAGGGAATAGAAATAAAGGAGACGTGAAATACGCAAACAGTGTAATAGGCGTGTTTATAAACACAGAACAAGAATAAACGACTATGTGTGTATCGTTAAATTAGTAACAAAAAATAATTTATCATTGTAGTAAGATATGACGCTAGAATAAATGTTTGTGCAGTTATTGTTTAGAGTGATGCTATGAAAGTCACAATTAAGTGAAAAGGACAATAAAATATAACTCTGTATGAGTCATGTATGCATAGTGAAGATAAAACGAATCTGAGAAGTTAATTTAAATGTAACACAAGTTATGTTCTTAATTACAAACTTCATAATCTTAAGAATAAGATTTATTTAGAAGGGAAGAAGAAAGAGAAAAGAAGTGAACGCCTAGTGAAAAGGTTCATCCATGATAAGAATAATAATTGTGTAATGAATATCAACCGGAGAAGGAAACCAGCAATTGAAAAAAATAAAATAAAAATCCTTTAAAGCACTCGGATGAATACATTTAGATTTATGTAATAGTATAAAGAATGAAACCGGATATTAGTATAA